GAAGTTAATCAAACTATGTATAGAGGTATGATAGGATCACTATTATACTTAACTGCTAGTAGACTCGATATTATGCATTCATGTCCGTGTGTGTGCTAGATTTCGAGGCTTGTCCTAAAGAATCTCACCTAATTGCGGTAAAACATATTTTAAAATACTTAAAAGGAACTACTGGGTTTGGCTTGTGGTATCCGTCCGATGCTTGTATTAGTTTATTAGGATATTCCGATGTCGATTATGGTGGATGTAAAATTGATAGGAAAAGCACTAGTGGGACATGTCATTTGTTAGGTTCATCCTTAATATCATGGCATTCTAAGAAACAAGCATGTGTAGCTTTATCTACCACTGAAGTCTGAATATATTGCAGCAGGTAGTTGTTGTGCTCAAATTCCGTGGATGAAACAACAGTTAGAGGATTATAGTATATATTTAAATGACATACCCTTAATGTGTGATAATACGAGTGCAATCAATCTAACTAAGAATCCAAGTAATGCACTCTAGGACTAAACATATTGAGATTAGACATCACTTTTTAAGAGATAATATCAGCAAAGGAAACTGTAAGATAGAGTATGTAGACACTAAACGTCAATTAGCGAGATATATTTACTAAGCCTCTACCAAAGGATAGATTCTATGATCTTAGAAGAGACTTAGGGATATTAGAAATAGCTTAAATTCTGCTTAATTTGACTGTTTTTGGATGATTGTTATGTTAAAATTCGTGTTGTAGGATATTCATAGGTTATACTGTGTAAAAACCTTAAAAACTTGATATAGCCTCCGGAATAATCGATTACTGGAAGTAATAATCGATTATTTTTTCTCAAAACGTCCAAAACAGGGTATTCTCATCTGGAATAATCGATTATTTCGTGAAATAATCGATTAAATGCTCTCGACAATCGATTATTTGCTAGAAATAATCGATTAAAACTGTCGATATAGAGAGAATCAATGTATTTTCTTTTGTTATTGTCTTGATGTTGTAATGGTTGAATGATTGTGAAATAAAATTTGATGTTTCTTTCATGCTATGATTGAGGGGGAGCTTTCTCTAACTTATGCATATTTTGAGGGGGAGCTCTTATGATTGATGTTGCAGAGTTCTTTTTGATTATACTCAAAATAGGGGAGAAAAATTTAAAGCCTATGATTCAATTTTAAATTTTATCTGGTATGTTTAATGTGTTTGTTAGTATGACAGATAAAACAGGTTATTACAAAGGGCTTTAAAAGAAAATTTTGATCATCATCAAAAAGGGGGAGATTGTTGACAATTCAAGGACTTGATGTTGCACTTGATGTTGCACTTGATGAATATGAAGAATGGATTTTGATGATGATCCAAGAACTAAAGACTTAGAATATTGAAGATTGAAGATTGAAAAGAAGAACAACTCTTTCCATACAAAAGTTAAGTGCTGTGAGTGTCAGAGAACTGTTTGTTGCAAGGAAAGGGGGCTTTTGGAACCTGGTGTGAGGCTAGAAGCGATAAGAATCACTAAGTGAAGTTCTTAGTGGATTGTGTGCTGTGCCGTCTCTAGGGAAAGCTGTTCTTCATCTCTTGTGGATTTCAAGAGAGGTGTTTTCCGATCTTTATCTGTTCATTTGTAATCTGTTTGTAACAATTTGTTCTTAGTGACGAGCGTTAATCCTCTTTTGAGTGATTAGCAACTCGGACGTAGGGTCTTTTGATCCGAACCAGTATAAACCTACTGTGTAATCTTCTCTACTCTTCTCTATTTACATTTACGCAGTTTTTAATCGGTAAAATTTGGGGAAAATTTTGAAAACCTAATTTTTATTAAAAATCCAATTCACCCCCCCTCTTGATTTTTGTCTGACCACGCGAACATTCCGCTGCGCGATTCTAACAATAGTGAGACTTTCTTTTGTAAGAATTTCCCGATGATATTAAAGGGAACAACTCTCAAGTGGATGTATGGTGTCCCTTAAGGTTCAATTGGTTCTTTTAGCACCCTCACCAATAAGTTCAAAGTTTATTTTCCAACAAGTTAATTACAAGATCGAGCTTTGTGGCCCTTCACGACCTTAGGTAAGAGCAAAATGAATGCTTGAGAAAACATCAATATTACAAAAAATAAGAAAAAAATATCAAACATAATCAGAATATCTAATAATTAGAATTATTCATAGTTAATCATTAGAGATCATGGTTTACACAATTTGTCTACAATAGTCTAACTTTTTAGAATCCTTCACCTAATAGAACGATATACTCTATGTTTGTAGGTTAAAAATAATCTTGTTTCTAGATAGTTTATATATGGATCATCCTCAAAGTGGAAAGCTTAGATCACAAGCATCAAAATTCACACAACTAGAACAAAGTACCAAACTTTGGAAAGGAAGGAAACAAGATAACAAGACCAGTTAATACAACTTGAAAGAAAAAAATCAAGATGAGAAGAAAGAAGAGAAATGATTATCTTATTTAATGTCACTGTGAGACGTTAATAAATGAAGATATTTAGATATTTAGATAGTAAATGTAATAAGACACACCAATTATTATATTTAGTGATGCAAATTTTAGCTCACATGATGTGAATGAAGATGATCTATTGGTTATCACAATGTAAATTACCAATTAAGTAGAAAGACATTAATAAATCAAGGAAACCCAACATATATGTTATTCTAGTCAACCTTCTTGAAATTATATGTATCACATGACCTGAAAAAAAATAATTTTTATTATTGAATGAGCTAATGTTTGTTATAATGTTTTACTAAGTTAAAAAATGTAAGAGTCGCGTGTCAAGATTGAAAATTATGGAAGTATACATGGATTACATGATATAAAATCGTATAAGGTAATAAGTCGATCTCAAGCATTTGGAACGAGTATTGATTGAGGTATGCAAGCACAATAGGTGAAATATATGAAAAAATTATGTAGTTGATATAAGAGGTGGAAAGTTTATTAGTTTGTGATAACTCAAAGGGGTATTATTATTTATCTAGATAAGTGTGAAGTAATATTCACAATGAAAAACCAAAAAATTATTAAAGAAGTTCAACAACTAGATAAAAAAAATTAGTCTCTTTAATATGGTTCTTAGTTAAATTGGTCAAAAATGCAAAACCAATTTTCAAAATAAAAAAAATAACACAAAAATTTGAGTGAAATGAAAAGTGTGACAAAGTATTTCAACAAATAAAACAATATATTAGAGTTTTCTCGAAGTTGGTTAATCTATCTTTAAGAATGTATCATTTTTAAATATTTGGTTGCAGCAAACTCGATCGTATAAACTTGGTATTTAAGCTAAGGTGAAATTATTTTACTAATAAAATTTTGCAAAAACAAGATAATAGAAAAAAAAATAGTTTTGTTGCTTATAACTATACTATAAAATTAATATAATATTGACATCTGGTATAAATAGGTGATAAAATAAGAAAGGAAGTGAAACAATTATCATATTTAAAAGGTCCAACAATATTATTGAAACAAGTATCACTATTTAAATTTTAAGCATCAAACAATCAAACCAAATATAAAACATTAATAATTAGATTAAAACTACCAAAATAACTACATTGATGTAAAACTCTCATCATTACCCAAATTAAAAAAAGAATTCTACATAAAAGAACCTTTTATTTAAGAGTAAAAAAAACATTTATTCAAGAATTGAGCTGGATGATCTCAACCAAAGAAATTAAAAAAAAAATTATTACACTTAACTTTTATATATTTTTATGTTTCTTGGTCATATATGATTAACATGTATTTTTATGTAAAATTTAACTTATGCATAACTAAAAAAATTATTGAGATGTTATTTTAAAATTTTATCAATAAATTTATTTTTTAATTAATGTTTACAAGAACCTAAACACACTCTTAAATTTTTAAATATGATATTTTTTAAAATAATAAAATTAATTATTAAAAAAATATATCAATAAAATTTATTTTTAATTAATAGTTTCAAGAACTTAAACACGTTCTTATATTTTAAAATATGATATTTTTTAAAATAACAAAATTAGTTATTCAGAAAAAACAAATAAAGATACAAATGATGCACGATTAAAAAACAGAAAATTTTTTGTTACAACCTAAACATATTTCTTATGAATAATTATATTCGCTAAATAATAATATTTACTATTATATTAGTATTCTTGGATGTTTATGGTTCTTTGAAAAGTACTATCAATTAATTTTGTAATATTTTACTCTTAATTAAGATTATAATAATAGTTGAATATCACTTTTTATTTATTAACAATCTTATTTTATTAATAAAATAAAACATTAAAAAAACAATGATAACTAGCAATTACGAAAATTAAACTACTGTAATAATTATTTATATATGATCGATTTCAAAAGTATATTTATAATTTTATTGAATCAATTTATTAAAAATAATTTCAAATTATATATATATATATATATATATATATATATATATATGAAAAATAATGGTGTAAATAAAAAATCTCAAAATTTCAGAAAAAAATAGTTTATAAAAAAAATTACCAATTACAATTATTACCTCACCTATACAAATTTTATAAAATCTAACATTAAATATGTTATAATTTTACGTTTTTTTTTTCGCGAAACTGGTTTAAAAATATAAGATTTGAAAAAGGCAAAACCAAACATAATAAAGAATGGTGTGGAAAAAAGTGAGACTGTTAAAAGTTGAGAATAAAAAGGTAGACTTTGCCATGGTGACGGCAAGAGAAACGAATTTGTCTAGGTCCCCCTAATCTCCCCGTGGTCCTTGGGCGGTGGGAGTGTCACTATAGTGCACAGTTTCATCATACTCTCTTTTCGATCTTCCTTACAACTCACCACAACATTAACACACCCCACTCTTCTATGTCCCCAATCTCACGCTACAAATATCCTTCTTCACACTCCACCACTCGTGATCATTCCACTGCATTCACCACAACCCCATTTTCTAAAGGCCCTCCAGCAAACACTCTCACATTGGAAGAAGATGGAAGGAAAAGAAGAGGATGTGAGAGTTGGAGCGAACAGATATGGGGAGAGGCAACCAATAGGAACTTCTGCGCAGGTGCAAGATGCCAAAGACTACAGAGAGCCACCCTCTGCCCCTCTCTTTGAGCCTGGAGAGTTGTCATCCTGGTCTTTCTATAGGGCTGGCATAGCAGAGTTTGTGGCCACCTTCTTGTTCCTTTACATCACTATCTTGACTGTGATGGGTGTGGCCAAATCCACATCCAAGTGCTCCACTGTGGGTATCCAAGGCATTGCTTGGGCTTTTGGGGGAATGATCTTTGCCCTTGTTTACTGCACTGCTGGCATCTCAGGTGAAATCAAATCAGACAATGATTTATGTTGTTTATTTTTCATGAAGTTTTAATGTTTTGTAACCGTAATATATTTGGGATGTTAAAAAAATGAAAAAATAGGTTTTCTTTTTTAAGATAGTAAGAAAGAATAATTATTGATATTTTAATATGTTTATGATGTTGAAATTTTTGTTTTTTCTTTCAACAACTGAGATTGATGAATTGCTCAGTCCAGATTAGTCAGATCTGAAAAGAAAAAATCCTGTAGAAAGAAAATAATTCAAATTCATATTCAAGAGTTCTAGAAACAGCCATAGGTACCAAAGTTATTCAAATTTGAGAGTTTCTCTTGTACGAGGTATTGTGAAAATTTCATATCATAAATGTTCAAAATACTACGTTTATTTCTCTCTTAAAAGATATACAGTTTTATCAAAATTTGTGAAAATGTATCAAAAAGTGATGAACATCAAAATTTTGGCAAGATCAAGTCATGTATGTGAAAATTATGACATGAAGGAATACATTTCCATATCCTAGGAAAGCAATTTGAGTATTAATGTTTAGATGTTTAATACTAGATTTACACTAACATGCAGGAGAAATTCGAGATCTCCCATAAATAAGAGCAAAGCTTATTATTAGAAAGTGGGTGGGATTTTCAAGAAAGTTAATCTCACTAGATGTCAGGTCATGTGTTATGATCTTATTTGACTGGGTCAAAAATCAAGTTTCTTTTCCTCTTGGTCTTTATCCTTCTGTAGGGGACTAATGACTAATTACTAATATCCATGAAAAAAAAAATGTAGAATAATGCAGTGATTTTCCTAATTTTGTTGGTTTGTGTGAATTTGGTAATGCAGGGGGTCATATCAACCCAGCAGTGACATTTGGACTGTTCTTGGCGCGCAAGCTCTCTCTGACAAGAGCAATATTTTACATAATTATGCAGTGTTTGGGAGCTATATGTGGGGCCGGTGTGGTTAAGGGCTTCCAGCCACACCTGTATGAGAGGCTTGGTGGTGGTGCCAATTCAATCAGTACAGGGTACACCAAAGTTGCTGGCCTTGGAACAGAGATTGTTGGAACATTTGTGCTTGTTTATACTGTCTTCTCTGCCACTGATGCCAAGAGAAATGCTAGAGACTCCCATGTTCCAGTGAGCAAAACTTTTTCCTTATACATGCACCTTCTCAGTTATTGTGTTGATCTACAAGTTGTGTTGTGATGATAAATCTAATTATAGAAATATGAATGGATCAGATCTTGGCACCATTGCCTATTGGCTTTGCTGTCTTTTTGGTGCACTTGGCTACAATTCCTGTTACAGGGACTGGTATCAACCCTGCTAGAAGTTTAGGTGCAGCCCTTATATACAACAAGGACCAAATTTGGGATGAACATGTGAGTTTTCTTCACCTTTAGTTTTGTTTAGATTTTTCTCTTTACTTTTTTTTGTTTTGATTTCTCTTGAATTATAAACCTATTTTATCTGTAGCCACAAAAAATCCAACCAATTTGTGATTAAATTTAGAGACAAAAGCCAAAATATCACTTGTCCAAATGATAAGAATTAGTTTATACCACATTGATTACCCTTCATTAGATGCACGAGTATTATTGAAAGAAAAAAGATTAAAAAGGGTAAAGGACACAATATTATATAAGAATTAAGGGAGTATGTTTTTCATTACTTTAAGGGTAAAGAATTTCAACCACAAATTGTACTGTTATGGTGCAGTGGATATTTTGGGTTGGACCTTTCATTGGGGCAGCACTTGCAGCTTTGTACCATCAGGTAGTGATAAGGGCCATCCCCTTCTCCTCCAAGTGATGCAACACAGAAGGTAAATTGAAGCAATGCCTGAATAATAATGGTGACTAGTTGATGTTCCCATCACTTCTGCTAATGATTTACTACTACTGTTGTTAATTTATGTATAATTTATCCCTTCAAATCTCATGTTTTCGGAGACACATTAGAACTTGTGGAAACAGTGTTATGTACGGTTAATTTTTCTTTCTATTTAACAGCTTCCTTTTGCAAAGCAGAAACTGAAGGTATATATTTGCTAGATTACAACCCTCTTCAAAATTTCCTGAGAAATTAACATAAGTTGGATAGGTCTTTGAGGAAAACTAACAAAAATCTTCATATATTTTGGATATAATTTAATTTTTTTATGTTGCAATGTAAAATACAATTGAATAATAAATTGATGGTTGGAATTGTTAATTGTAGAAACATGAAATATAAAGTACAATCAACTATATACTTTTGCCGATTAGACGTTATTGTTCAAAACTGGTGTCACCTCTGGTTTCGATATTTTTGTCTGTAAACTGGATTCTGGTTAAGAGATTTTCATTCAGGTTGGGCCTGCTACTCAAATCCCCTAACGTGTGGGCATTTTTTTTAATGAAGAAAATGCTTCACGAAATGGAACTTTTTATTTTTTGGATGAAATATATGTAATGGATATTTGTTTTCATGGTGTTATAATGAATAATACACGATGGAAATAAGTTTTTGTTCTGTATATTTGTAGTAACAAAATAGAACATAAATGACAATACACAAATCATTAATGAAAAGAAAAGAAAAATGCAACTACAAAGACAATATTGCTGTGAAATAAGAAAACAGATATATATATTTAGATTTATTATATAAAATATAATTTCAATAATATAATTTAAGGGTTATAAATATTTCAATTACATAAATAATAAAAATTAATGAAATTAATAGACAATCTATAATTATTCATTATATTCTGATTTGAATGTCAACAATATAAGAATATGTCTCATTAAAACCTATTAAAAAAATCCTATGGAATAAAAATATAATTAAAGAAGAAAAAAAAACATAATTCTTGAATATATTTTTAAAACATATTCATTTCTCCTTCTGTAAATGATTATCGTCAAAATAAAGAAATCAAACTCGTGAATTATTTTCCTTTAAGAAATATTTTTATAAATAAATATATCAAATTTTTTAGGAACGAAATTTTCTAAATTTTTATATTACAAGTTCACTAGTAAAAAAAATAACTTTAGAAGAACAATGTTTTGCTCTTTCTCTTTTGTAATATATTTCTTTCAATTAAATATAATACATGTTATCAATAATTAATTAATGTCATTTTTCTCAAACTATAAACCTTTTGAACATGTTGAATTATAGATATCAATTTACCATATTCATGACTAACCTTATGTAATGTTAGAATTTTTACATTATTTGATGATGTTGATTTTACAATTTGTTTCACAAAATCGTAATATCGTTACTTATGAACAAATATCTTATTTATAAATCATTACTTATAAATAAATATTTTATTTATGATCAATGATATGAGAATATGATAAATGGTACGTACCTCCACAATCTATTAGATATGATTTTGAAAATTTGACTAAAATAAATCCATCAATCAAGATAATGAAATGTATGATTTACTCCGGTCTAATGTCTATTATAAATGAAAAACTATATCTTGTTAATAAATTTATAATAAATACTGTATCAAGTTAAATATAGTTAATAATATATACTTATGCTCCCATAATATTATAGTAAGGTAAGACTAAAAACTTTATAATCATTGGAGTGTTATTCATATAGAGACTTTAGAGTACCTATTTTACATTAATTTAATCACTTAGATTAAAAAAAAATCTTTTAAAATTATATTTAGAAAATATAGATCTCTTTAAAACTAGTTTTCTAATTTCATCCTTCACTATAATATATATATATATATATATATATATATATATATATATATATATATATTATATAAACTTTAATATTTGATAACAATTTATATATATATATATATATATATATATATATATATATATATATATCAATTAGTTTTGACAAATGATTCCTAAATACTATTTACATGAAAAGAAAACTTTTTAATTGTTATATATTATTAACATAATTATGTTATTACTTAACCAAACACAATAATCTCTCCTAAAATGAAAGGAATTTTATTAAAATCAAACATAATAATCAAATATTAACTATTAATTGTTGTGAATAATAATCCTTCCTTGGAGCGCTATTATTCGCATGAACAATTACTTACTAACATCAATACAATTTTAATTAAACACAATTTCAGATTTGCTAGGTAATTAGTGTTTCAATAAATTTAATAAAAACAAATTATTAGACATACAAATAAATGGGAAAGTTATGAAACCATATATATCATAAGATATAATAAGAATGCAAACTGTAACCTTTGTCATCACTAAATGAAAAAACGTTTATGCTTTCACCATCCTCTTTTCTATAAATAAAATAAAAAGCATTAGACGATTATTGCTCTCTCTTCTGATTGAAGATAAAAAAAATTGTCTCTTTGAGTTGGTGTGTTGGGATCATTCGTCCTTTTAACCTAGGAATTTGTAAGATCAAATTAATTTATATTTACTAAGTCCAATATATTCATTAAATTAGACCACTTATGTTAAACTCATCTAAATATAAATTATAACATAATTTATAGTTTATATTAATTAATTAGGAATTATAAAAAATAAATTTGATATAAATTTAAAGATTCATTTTTTATATGGTCTCATCATTATGTAGAAAAAATAATTCATTAAAACAAAGTTATTTATTTCAAATGTTTTTAACACATTTTTTTTAATTTATGTATTATCTTTAAATTATTTCTTACATAGATCTATTAAAAAAATAATAAAACGTGCTTTGTCACTTGATCAATATTTTTCTTATATAAATATAAAAATTAAGCAGTAATAGAATCAACTAGCCAAACCTCGAATAAATTCAACAATAAAAAAAATATCCACTGTTATATTGCTACAAGAAGAACTTAACAATAACATCACTAATAATTCACTATCATAAAAAAACTAAAGTAAATAATTATTAAATATGACCTTATAAAAAAATTGAAATAATTATAAATAAATTCAACTTATATGTGAATATTAAATTATTGACCTATTTACCAAATTACTATCAAAAGTCTTATCTGAAAGTATAAGTAATGTTCCGAGTTAGTAAATTTTGTATAAAAATGTTAAATTTGATAAAAATTTCTATAAGTTTTGAAAAAAAATTATAAATATATATATAAATTAAAAATAATTTTAAAGTTAAAAAAAATCTAGAATTTTCTAGATTATCCATGTGAACCAAACTTATAATAAGTATTATCACTTATATAATTAGTATGAAAAAAATAATACAAACACTTTCCCATTTAGTTTTTTAAGTTTTTAAGATTTTCATACTAATAATTTATTAAATTATATTAATTAGGAATTTATAAATGATTGTTTATAAAATCTAATAGTATAAAAATTGCGATAGATTTGCATTAGAAAAATCCTTGAGTTAAGTGTACTGTAACAATTTGCATTTATGAGCCTCCAATGTTGTTTATGAGATTTCAACACAGGAATGAATGTCCATGAAAAATCAAAGATTAAAAATTGGTTCATGATTTTTTAAATCTTTCTTTTGAAGGGAACCAGAATGAGACACAAAGTAAACTGGGGAGATTAGAAGTCTGACATTTCCACATGCATATTCAATATCACATATACCACAACTGCACATGGTCCCAGCTCCTTCCATTTTAACGAATTGAAGGGTCACACCTTCTTATGTAATTAAACGTTGGTCCATAAATGTCATCCTAAGTTAGGTTTAGCTTTCATCATTCATTCTCAATTTCAATGATGTTTTTGAAGAATGTGCTTTTATTTAATACAAGGCTTTTAAAATAATTAATGTCAAACTCTATTTCAAATATATATGGTTATATATATTTTGAATTCTCTATCATACTTTGTTTCCATTATAACTTCTCACTTTTAATATTTTGATTCATCTAAAAAACATTATTATAGAAAGAAGCAAAACCACACAAGCATTTTTAATTTGAGTTTTATAGGTAGAAACAGAGAACAAGCATACCCTACTTTTAGAAGATTACATCGTATTGCCAACCTCCTGTATTAGGAATGGATTGAATTTAGAACAATATCATGCACTAATTTAGTTCATGTCAAACTGATTTTGGGACTCATCCAAGCAATCAAATGAAGTAAAGACACAACAACCAAATTTCAAAATAATTATCGCACTAAATTCTTATCATTCTTGTTTGATGTAACTGAGTAAAATAATATTTTGATCTTCCTCTCGGAGAAACATAATTAGAGTCTCACAGAGTGTAATTATCCTATCCGCATGAATTCCTACATTCTCTTCCCTTTTGTTTCAATAAACAAGTTAAGAGTATTTATTAAGAATTCACAGTTAAGTCTGCGGTAGTTCTTCTCTTTGATCCATGACTTTCATAGAAAGACTTTAGATTTTGTCTTATTTTCAACTTAATGGGTGGCTTTTGATGCCTAGGCTGATAGGTCCATACAACTTGGCCATTTGAAAAACATGTCTCACTGTAACACATGGATCATATTAATTATTAACTATGCTTCTGTATATTTCACTGTTTCTGGTACCAGTTATTTATTTATATAGAGAGACACCAGTGCCAGCTTTTGATCTATTCTTGCCTACAATTGATGGCACCAAAGTAATGCCTTTATTTCTTGTACCTTATGATCACATACCTGCATCTGTGGTACTGGAGTTGTCATAACTATCATACATGATAGCATAAAGCTAATGATAACCACTAAAAAAAAAGGTCTGAACATTTTAGGACTGCCAAAACAACAGTTTGTATTTATCATAACAACAATATACATAAACCGTCGTTCTTACGACAAAAAAAACATAATCAGATTTTAATACTCTAATATTCTAAGCGTTTGGCAACTATGGGACAGTTGAGAATAAATGGGATAAACTTTGTCCCTTCCCCATTTCAAGCATTATTCTTAGATGGAACTGTTCCATCTGTTCCAGCAAGGATTGCATACTTGTCCTTCCTTGTTAAATTGGTGCATTCAAATCCCAGAGTTCCTGCAAGAACCCTTTGAATGTAATTTGCAACTTCAAATGAAGATTTTCCTCCCTTGCAAGTGAGTTCTGTTGGTAACTGGTTCAAGAAAGTGATCTCATATGTTGGCATAGGATTCATGAACACAAAATAAGGATCCAACAATTTGTAGCCGCGAGCTGAGGTCCCATAAAACACACTTTGCTTTGTGTTGATGGCAATTGGGACAATCCTATCAGTTAGCTCAGCAAAAAGAGCACTGAACCTCAAAAGGAATGGTTCTCTACAAGTGGTGCCTTCAGGACAAATCACCAAGTCCCCTTCTTCAAGCAATTTCTTGATGTTGGCTGCATCTCTCGCTCTCTCCCTTGAGAGTGCCACAGCTTTGATTGGAGAAATCATTTCACTGAATTTGCTTATGCTATATGTGACGCAGCTAATTTTCCTTCTTAGTGCAACAGCTGTAACCACAGGGTCTAAAACTGTACGGTGGTTACAAACAAATAGCACCCCACTCTGACCTTTCTTTGGAGGTGGTGGAGGGGTACCCTTGCTAATGACCCTGATTCCTAGAAGCTTATAGTTGTACCAAGCAATTCTTTCTGGCAGAGGAATGTTGAGGTAGACCCTTAGGATTGAGAGTATAATGCCAATTGGCATCCATAGGAAGGTCAAGAGGGCCACTACAGGAGTTGGCCTCTGAACTAAACGGCCCTCATGAAAAATAATTGGACTTAAAAGCTTGTTTCTTGGGAGTGGCTCACACTTGATCCTTGGCACCATATATCCTTCCTGTAGGACAACATACAGTTAAATGAGTTGATCACTAGCTTGTACATATGCAAAAGGAGCATGCACGAGTCACATTTTCATTGATTTTTTTACTTGGATTTTATATACACTTCAACTTCTAGAAAAATAATAAATTTTGTATTTTTCTGCATAATTAAGAATACGGTTTTGTTAGAGACAGAAACAAAGGAATAGTCTCAAAAAAGGAACCAAATCTTTTCACAAAACTTTAATGATGTTTATTTACTTAAAAAATGCAATGTTGGCTGTTGATTACTCAACAGAAAGTCCAGGAATCCGCGATAAAACAAAAACAAAATTCAGAGGACTCCAAGGGGATGTCATAAGGATTGTGTTTTGCCATTGATGATTAGAAAAGTATGCATAGAAGAGCTGCAAATTACCCCTTTTCATATATTTGACAAGAGGTACAAAAGTACGGCATTGATTGAGTATTAAAAATTGGTTGGACGTGAGGTATGGAAAGTGTCAGAAGTCCCCCCAGTCTCAGTTGGAGTTGGTCCTTCCTTGGAAGATCCAATTAGGGATCTTTTTTATTATGTGTTTTTAAAACAAAATAGTAACACCAGTTGTGAAAGAGAACTTAAAAGTGGAGACATAACCATCTTGAAACTGAATTTATATGAAGCTCCATCCACAAATAGACCATGCAAAATGGGAGGACCACTTAAAAAGTAGAGTTGTGAATACTGAGAAAGGTTTGGATAGAAAAAAAAAGTTCTTATGCACCAAATATATATATATATATATATATATATATATATAGGTAGAGAGTCAATTGTCACGATCATTAAAGACTCTTACCAAATTTGAAGCTATTCGAACAATCTACCTAATTATAGTGTAAGAAACAGCTCATGTATAACTATCTGTTTTCCTCGCCTCCAAATATATTAAAGTTGAAAAGGACCAAAAGCAACATTATATAGACAGAAGGAAACGAAATAAAAAATATATGTAAGAAATTTAACATTATATACAAATATTTTTATATCAATAATTGATTAAAGTAATTATAAAAAATATAATAAAAATTAATCTATTTATAATCACTAATATATATATATATATATATATATGAAAAAAAAAACAAAATTAACAACGTTATTATATACTAAAAAAAGTGTTTCATTAATACTATGAAAAAAAATTACTCTCCCAAATGCATGAATTCTTATCAAATTAAACTAGTTAATGTCTTTCTTTACCAATCAGTATTTTAGAGACATGCATTGATTAAAAATTTAGAAATAAAACAAATTTATTAAAAGTTTTATAAATATATCAATAAAATTAAATATTATTTTCTTTTATATGCAAAATACTTTTTATCTATAGACTCATCACACAACATGCTCCATCCTCCTTACATTAATGAAAATTATTTAAAACTCCATTATATATATGTGTGTGTTGTGCTGGATTGCTTTTTCATTAGAATTCAAGGTTTCACCATCTGCATTAACTTTTATTTCACAAATTAGTAAGACAAAATAGGGTTATTAAATTGTTAAAAGCTGTACTTGTGGTGTTTCACATTCTCCAACAGAGAGATTAGAGAACATTAGAAAGTTCGGTAATAGCGTATTTATGATCTCAACTAAATCTTACAGTGCATGGCACTGAGAGTGTGATAGTTTGAAGTTATGCTATAATTTAAAGAAAGAGAAGAGTCTATATAATAATATATATTGTGTTTATACCAACCTTGCAAATGGACATGAAGTCAAGGTCCGTTACACTGTCTCCGAGTCCCAAATCGGGCATGTTTGTCCCAAATTCCTTCACAATCACATCTTTCTTGTGTTCACCAACAAGCACACCGGGTTCCTTAGCGAATCCTGTTACCCTCCCTGACGACGTTACCTGGAGCTCGGTCCCAAATACCTTATCCGCACCGATAAATGTTTTGGCGAAGGGCTCCACCATCACTCTAGGGCTGGCGGTGACAATGTAACGCTTCCCAAAGGAGTTGAAGATGCACCATGTGTCAGGATGCACGTCCTCCGCGTAAAACCTGGGGAGCACAGAGCGGGCCACGACCTCGACATCTTTGAGTTTGAGCCCGGCAAAAGTTACGAAGATTAAGGTTTTGATGGCAGCGGTTTCGGAGATGAAGAGGTAGGTGAAGTAGATAAAGGGGACAAAAGTGAGGAGAGTGAGGGCTCTTAGGATGCTGCCGGCTTCCAGAGCAATAAGGAGGTAGTACGGGAAGGCGCTGCGGGACAGGAGTAACGTGCCATCGAGGTCAGAGGCGACGGTTTGGTTGGACCGGTCTTTGGTGGTGCATTGGGTGATTGGGGCGAAACTAGGAGTGGCTCCCATGACCAGGACGATTGAGGAGAAAATGGGAGGGAGAGAGAAAGGGTATAGACTTGTGGTGTGGAGAAGATGAGTTTGTGGGAGGTAGGTGATGACGTTGGATAGCTTCAAAATGTTATGAAGAGAGAGGGGGTGAAGGGGTTTTAATAGGAGAGGAGGGTGTCGTAAGGTTGGTGAAACATTTTGGGAAACAAGTGTGATTAATATGAACAAAATATATATATTTTTAATGAGATTATTGTTGGCTTTTATATTCTTTAAAATTGCAATTCTATTTTGATTGGTAACATTTACCACACAATACAATTATGTGTGACTCAATCAAATCTACATATATAGCAAAACTTCTATACAATTTTTGTAAGTATTTTGAGTTTTATTTTTAATCAAAATTAGTAATTTATGTATGATTTATGAAAATATATATCAATTTTAATTAAAAAAATAATACTAAATATTTAAATTACTTTATGACATAAAAAAAAAAGTATAGTATCAATACAAAAATTGAATATAACAATTTTTCTTATCTCATTTAAATGTATATTGGATCACTTTTGTTCAGTAATTCATCTAAGATCACTTTTGTTCAGTAATTCTTTCTTTTATAAGAAAATCATGATAACGAGTAATTCTTCTTTACCTTATTATACATTCTTAAATGAAAATGAAGTCATAATAACTAGTTTTATAAATGAAAAACTAAAGAGATTTAGTAAGAAAAATATCTTATGACCCATTTTCACAACTAGGAGAAAAAAAAAAACTAAAAAAACTAGAAGAGTGAATTAGAGAAGGAAGAAGGGTAGTGGTGTTGTAGCGTGGGAGGTAGGGCAGTAGAGTTGTTGTGAGGAGGAGAGGTGAGTGAGTAGTTGGCAGTGGAAGTTCACAGCTCCCTTCATTCAATAAGAGCCTACTTTTTAGTTTATTGATGCCGGCCTTAGCAGCCTCATAAAACCAATACACGGTTTCTACTTTTTTTATTTTATTATTATTTTTATAAATATGGTCCACTGTATCTTAAAGAGACACCCTACAATAATTTAACAAGGTCAGAAATATATAAAGAAATTCTGACAAAAGATTATTTCAAGCAGAACAAATCTAATTCAAGAAGTGGAGATCAAAATGATTCCAAATTGAATTCGGTGGGTCAACTTCTTATGCTTCAATTCAAAATTCATTTATTCACTCCATCCATTTTGTTGCTAGATTCTAAGTAATAATTTCATCCATTAGTTGTCTCTGTTTCTTTCTTCAAAATTTGTACTAGCATCTTAAAACTTTACAGAGAAACTTATTTGCATAAAGATTATTCATGTTTAGTATATTACTGTAACTATTGGTTGAAACATTTTAGATATACTATCAACTAACTATAAAATGTACACTAACAATTTCTCTTTCAACCAACCATTACTATTGTTGTCCTTTGGTCTGACTTTGAGATTGCAATTAAGTTTTAGAAACCTTAAAATGGACCACAATCAATGGTGATTACTACTTTTTCCTAATTGTTCACAAATTTGTAATAGTTGAGTATAAAAACTCAGCATTTGAAGCTATATCCCTTTGAATTTGGACATATTGTTTGTAGCACTAAGATGACACTGCTAAACCCGTTCATATTTTTACTCAAAATGCATGCTTTATATCTGTAAAAATTTCGAACAAACAAAATGTACCTTTTATATTCGTATCTTTATCTATTTTTTGTTAACAAGTATTAAATATAGGATTTTTAGGGTTGATTTTATTTTATTTTAAAAAATTATTTAAATTAAATATAATATTTAAATGTAATTTGATTTTGTTTTAATTTTCAAAAACTTCAAAACAAATCAAACCAATATTTTGTTGTCTAGTTTATTTTTTTATAGAACTGTTAAATATATTATAATAAAATAATCATTATATAATATATTATAAAATTATTATATACAATTAATTATAATATTTATAGTTTTAATTTATTTTCATATGGTTCTAAATTTAATTAAATAATAATAATAATACATATCATACAAGAAAATAATTAACTCACTCACAATATATTTTAATTTCATCATTATATTTATAATTTTTGTAATTGATTTTTGGTTGTCAAACTGAAACTGAACTAAATTGGTCAATTTAAAAAAATTAATAAAAGTTTTTTTTTAAATAATTTTAATCTATTTTTTATTTTTTTTTATCAATTTTCAGTCTTATTTTCGTATTAGTTTGGTTTTGAACAGCCTAGACATAGATATTTCTTATATGTTTCAAATTTTTTTCTCAAAATATATTATACTATTATTAAATTTTTCAAACATAAATGTAGTTAAAATAAAAATAAAAAGTGTTTACCTAATTTTGAATTTTTCATTTACATGAAATAAAAGTTTAAAATATAATTTATGTAAGTGATGGTTTTTTACACATTTTATAAGTATTTCAACCTCAAATCCTCTAGTATCATCGAATCAATTATCATATTAAAAGTATTATCTATTTTAAACCCCAAATTTGTTTTAATCATAGTTTTGTCTTTAAAATCTTTTTTATTATAATCTTATCTTTAAAAGTCATCTCAACAAGTTTGTAAAGAGGAAATATATAAATTATCATTGTTTTCAAATCTTAAATGATGTGAAACTTTTGAGCGTATCTAAATATAACACTACAAGGTGAGAGCTAGGCATGACAACGGGCGGGCGGGTTTTGCCTCCCGATCCCCGCCCGACTTTTTAATCATCCCAGTCCCTGCCTCCGATCCCATGGGAGTTAGAAATTAAGTCCACATCCCAGTCCCGCTGAGTTTCGGGTTCCCGCCCGTCCCCGATCTATATTATTTTAAAAAAGATAATTACATTTATAATAAATTAATTTTACTATCTATTTTTTATATATAAATAAATATTTATAATTTATAATAATTATTAATTAAATATACATTTTAATTTATTATATTAAAATATGTATGTAAAAGAAACATTTTATCATTTTTTATTTATAATATTATTATTATTATTATTATTATAATATCTGTATTCAAATATTTGAATACTTATAACATTATTATTATAATATTGTATTCAAACATTTGATTATATATATATATATATAAGTTAATTCATTTTTAAGTTGTTATTTAAAAATATGAAATATATAGTTTATAAGGAAATATTTAATAAGTTAATTATTATTCAATTAGTTCAAAGTAATAAAAGTTTAAATTATCAATTCCTTTAATCCTTTAAAATACAATTATTTTATTAAGATAAAATTTGATATATGATAAATAAGAATAATAAGATAAAAAATGACATAATAAAACCTAATAAATATAAATTATAAATAAAATAATATTAGTTACTACTAAGATTTATGTAAAATATTTAGAAAAAGATAAAGAATAAAAAAAATTAACTTTGTGTTCATCAAATTGATTGAAAAGATTGAAAAAAAAAAACAAATTAATGGGAGAGATTAATGAAATATGAAAAATTGAAAGGTAAAAGAGAATAATGTAATAAATTAATTGATATAAAAGATTAAAAAATACAAAAAAATTAAAAAATAGGTAGAAGAAAAATAAAAATTGGAGAAATATAAAAAAATGACCTTATATGTAATAGAAAAAGAAAAGAAAATACTTTTAAAATATTAATATTTTAAAATTTAAATTTAAATATAAAGTCGGGGCGGGGACGGGCGGGGTCGGGATGGGGATTGCATTACCCATCCCAGTCCGCCCCAACTTTAAAGCGGGAAAACCCGAACCGCCCCGCCCCGGTCAATTCGGGTTTTCCCAGTCAAACTCGGGACGGGGATGGGTCGGTCCCCACGGAGACGGGTTTAATTGCCATCCAAAGCTAAGGGTTTATGTTCCTCAAAAGTTGCTCAATATTTTAACTTAAATCTTATATATCATTGTTAGAGTCAATAATTGCATTTAAGGTATTGTGGACTTTAAAACTTTAATCCATTACAGTTTGATCTTTAAAATGTATTTGATAATTTAAACGAGGAGAATGTATATAAGTTATCCTTATCCTAAGACTTTTTATATGTGATGTGGAATTTTTTTGGGCAAAACATATAGCCTCTCCCTCCTTCCCAAGAGGATGCTAAGGGTATTTGTTCCTTACAAATATCGTAAAATATCTAGGAACTTGAATAAAATATAATAACTCAGTAAAAATACGTTGAGATATTGTTGAATATTTATTTGGCAAACGCACAAAAATTATTAATCACAGTATAGTATTTTAATTAAATAAAAGTCGATCCCACAAGGAACGGTTTCAATAGAAATTCCAAATCATATGCTTACAAAGTATATTGAAACAAAATTGGGTTTTCATAAAGATTTGGATTGAAATTAAATGGTAAAGAACAATAAACAATATTTAGAAAAGATCAAATTAAAGAACTTAGGATTGACTTCATTCTTTTTTTCTTTTTTGCATAATGACTAAGTCAAATTAAGAACATCAATTAACCTAACAATGTTGATGTTACCTACTCAAATCATTCACTTTGATTGCTCACATGTAAAATTCATAAGAAAACTTGAAAAATGTCGATTCCTCACACAGTGAAAAGATTTTTCAGCATTAGGTTTAGGGTGTTAAGCATTTGATACATTCATTTCATTCCTGGCAAGTAACGTAGCAAATATTCTTACCTGATATAGGGTTTCAAGATATATTTTTCAATCATATCTCAAACATCAAGTATAAATCATTTCAAAGCACAAAAGATAAGAATAACAACATCAAAACATAGATTAATATCTCAAAATATCACCATAATATAAAAAAGTTCCAAGGAAGTGCATCAATCCTAAGAGAATGAAGTTAGTCACTCATGGAGCCCATTACAATGCTCTAAATGAGGAAGAATTGAAGAATCATTGAAGAACAGAACAACAGTTGTGCCTCTTCTCCAAAAACCTAAAATTCCATCTCAAAACGTGTTTTATCTTTTAATAGGAAAATTTGGGTCAGACCTCGCAT